CCCGATCTTCATCGCTCATGTGATCCACCTTCTCAACAAGCAGCTTCTTCAAGAACATATTCTCCTTCTTCAGCCCATCATTTTCGGCTTCGAGCTTCTTGGTCCGGTCTTGCATCTTTTGACTCGTCTCCATGAGCTGCTGCTCGCGCTGCTTCTTCTTCTGCCGGAAGCGTGCGGAAGCAGCTTGATTGCGTTTTCGCTTGTCTTCTTCTGCTTCGACAACAACCGGATCGGTGAGGAGACTTGCATTGGTGCGTTCGGGTGATGTAGCTGATGATGTGGATGTTGCGATGCTGTCGGGGTATGGCGTGCGATAAGCGTTGATGTTGAAGCTTTGTGTAACGGGAGAGAATCCCTGGAGATCATCAAAGCCGATCTGAAGCGCACTGTCGTGCTCGTAGTGTTGCGGGATGTGTCCTGTCATGGTCGGCATTGCAGGCGCCTCGGAGGTGTACGGTAGGCCTTAGAATGACGTTAGTGACCATGGTCTGCGGCGAACAAAAAACAGCTCAGAAGATGCGGTGAACGCTGGGTTTTTCATCGATCGAACGATTGACGCAACAACATGCGTCTGTGCACAGCTTGCATACACACCTCCCTAGGCAGGTATGCAGTTGTCGCAAGTCCCGTCGCCGCGTTCGATCACGTGCAGCTAGCGAGAGCACGCCATCCCATCCCGAACAAACGTCATCCAGCTCTGGCAACTCAGAGGCACAGGAATTTCGTCCATACGTAGGCAAAGGGCCTAATGAGAGGGACAAAGAATTCGTTGGGGATGATGTACATGAAGTTGATGGGATAGAGATAAATAGAGGGGTTGCGCTTACCTGGTGCCGACACACCACTGCTGTGTAATGCATACGCAAATTGCTGGGTCTGCGCGATGACATCCTGAGACTGTATGTGCAGTGAAGGTGGGTGTTGTCCGCTGGGGTCATATTCGTGGTTATGGTAGAGATTGGCGGCGTCGAGGATATCGAAGAGATCACGTCCAGAGGAATTCCCATTCGCATGTACGTCGGTGAAGGTCGGCTGCCCAAAAGCTTGCTGAAGATAAGTTTCCGACATTACTCTCCATCGGCAACATGCGTTCTCGCGCAATCGCGTCTTTTCCTTTTGTCGTTCGTTTTCTGATCGTCGGCCTCAAGGTCGGGGGAATGTTGTTGAGCTTCGCGCTGGGCTTTTGAGGGGGTTGAGGGTTGACGTTCGCTCCCTGCAGGCGCGATGGTGTGCCACCCTATGAGAATCACACAAATGCCCACCGGCATGCGCTTATGGGCAGCGCACCCCACTGCCACAATCGCCTTTTTGGCAGCCATGGGAAATGGCGATCGCGTCGGATTGCGCCATATTTCTCATACGATTGTCAACGTCCTCCATGCTTTTACCTAAATTGCGCCGCCGAACAGCGTCGCAATACCAGCGCGCAGTGTTCCCGTGTCTTGCTCGCATGTTCGTAATCGCGAAGACCCGCGCTTGGGTGGGGCAGTATCTGCATGAGGCGTCCATGGGTTGCAGTGAGCTCGCGGCAATGCTGAGCCGGAGGCACTGGGCAAAGTCCCTTTTCCCAAAACCCACTTTGTGCTGTCTCGTCCATGCATCGTGACCGATTGTTTTGTGAACGCAACCTTTACTCCTCTTCAAATAACTCTTGTCTTGCTGTATGTCTGAGACATGTAATGGGCGTGTCAGTAGTGATCGTAACGTTGTGTAGAGTGAGTCGTCAATACACAATGTCTACACACTCCGCGGAGTAGGGATATAAATCAGTACTTCCAGGTACACGGCATGGACACCGGACGCCTATACCAATAGAATATACTAGGAGACCAATCCCGATATGAAGACTCGAACACATTATGCAACACTTGGGCTGGCCCCGAACGCAACACCGGAAGTCATAAGTGCAGCGTACAAAGCTCTGGTGCTGAAGTACTTTGATGAGCTCCCGGAAATGGCCGGTGCTGAGGGCGTCGCGCGTGCTGCTGTGTTTGATGAAATTCATGAGGCGTTTAATGTCTTAGACGACCAGAGCCAGAAAGCTGTCTACGACGCTGAGCTTGCAGGGAAGGATGACGAGGTCATTGACGAAGCCTCTGCCTTTCACCATTCTCCTTGCTCTACACTGGAAGACTGCACAACAGCGCCTACGATACAGGAGCAGAAGAACTCGATGCGCGCTCGGGTACGTGAGCAAGTCAAATACTGGCGAGTGCTGCGCGAGAAACGTCGTGAGGCTGAGGCACGTCTGAGTGTAGACGAGCTCAAGAGCCTGGTGGAGATCTGGGAAGAAGCCGAGCTCGAGAACGCAGCCGATCCTGTGATGAAGGCTCGATGTGCCACCGTCACTTACGAATACGTGGATGAGCTGAAACCTCGTGAGCGAGAGCATGAGGAGCGGCCAGTAAAGGCTTCAATACCCAGGCGCACAACAGAGATGCCCACAACGCCAGTCGCGAAGAAACATCGTCCGAAGACACCATGTGCGCCCACAAAGTCAATCGCTCCTGCACACATATCGTCATCGATTAAATCAGATGTTGCTGCCCAAAAACCCCGTTTTGATGCATCGCCGACACCTGCACCGTTCTCTCGTATAGGCGCGCGCGCCGCCGAGCTTGAACGGGCCGAAGAAAAGCGGGTCGAAGCAGCCAAGGGTGGAGCCGAAGCCCGCAAGGAACGGAAGGCCCAGATTGAGGCGGCCAAGCAAGCCGCACTTGAGAAAAAGGCGGCCGCTGCTCGTGCCTTCAAAGCGGACCTGAAAGTGGCAGCTGACGAACGGGATCGTGCGAAGGCTGAGCGCATCGCAAAAGCTCGAGCCAAGGTCCGCGGAGCACCAGTTGACATGAATGATGCTACTGGTGATTTTGTCGCTTCTGGAGAACAAGAAGGTATGTTGTCGCATGGGGATGATGCCTCCGATGAGGGTATGTCGGAAGACGTCAAGCTACAAGCGGACAAACGTTCCGATGCATGTGGCACCGAACACAGTGACCTCTGTTAGCGAGGAGATTGCAGTACGCGGGTAATTGCGTAGGATGAAGATGCATCAAAGCACACCTCATGAGCGTGTTTGGTACTGGCTATACGGTGTAGCGCGTGGTGACACGTATGCCATGGACGTGATTTTCCCATCCTCTTCTCTGATTCTTATATTAGTCAATGCAAATAACACTGAAGCAAACCAGCTCACCTTCGCTCTTGCCCACACGCATATCCAATCACCATCTTGTAGAGAGTCAATGAAGTTCTCGCCACGTCCAGAGCCTTCGTTGCCCTCCCATGTTGGATTTTCTTTACATCCCCAGACAACGTGATATCTCCGAATGAAGTCTCCATCAAAGACAGACGTGGCTCTTGCGACCTCGTTGCCTTGCAGATACCAAGCGTGTTGACCTTCAATACCCATCGGGCGTGACGGGTCATCATGTAGAAACGTCATAGCTCGCATCTCGTCGCAGTGTAACCTCTGTGGCTCCGTAGCCGATGGCGAGCGCGGTACATTGCTGAAGCTCAGGTCACCGCATATGTTGTCTATGACGCTGTGGATGTTGCTTTGGGGGTACATGTTGTCCTCGAAGTTTTCAGCGACGATTTCATTCTCCATGTCGCTGGGCGGAGACTGCGGGCGCACGATAGAGACCTCAAACCATGAAGAGGTGTCGTATGTGCCAATTGTACCCTCTGTTGTCCAGCCCTGGTCGTGGCTGACAATCAGAAACTCTATCTCTTTGAGTCTGGGCGTTTCGTGATGCGTGGTTTCGGACTTGTCAAAAATTATCCTCATTAATGGAGACGCGGCGGAGAAGTTGTCGGAGAACTCTTCGTCCAGAATCACGAGAGTCCTGTCATTTTCATGGACGTGCTCGACCCAGTAATGAGCCTTGTCCAGAATGTCGAGGACGAGTTCGTTGGGAAGTCCTAGGCGGTGATGGAGGAGGGCACGGGTGCGATGAACATCACGGCGACGGGGCACGAAGGGTCTCATAGAGCTGCTTTAGTAATTGGCGCTTTCGGTCGGTCGCAGCGCAGAGGAATTAGGGTTGAGAGGTTAAAGAGGGTCGCTGTGGCATGTGTGCGAAGACACCCAATGGCAGGAGGGCTAGTGGAGAAACAGGCTTAGTGTCGCCCGCACCATCCCCCCGACGAGCCGAGAGTTACCACGGATCGGCACGCATGACAACTGGCGCATTCGGCCCTGCTGCCCATGTTTAGCTGGATCCTTATTCTAACCTCAGTGGAAATGCGAGAGACTTCAGTATTGCATTGCATTGCCGCTCTTAGTGTGGCAGGCATGCGGCGTCCAGCAGAGCTACGATGACTCACCGCAGGAAGCTCCTCGACCACCATCCCGTAATGTTTGTCCACACTTCAGGCCATGTGCACGCGTTCTTCTACGTCAATTTCTCGAAATGTCTCGCATGAAATCCTCCGTTCATGTCGAAATGTCATGCTGTTATTGGCGCGACAATATGGTAGGCTAGGGAATGACTCGGTCTCTTCCTTTCACTTGCAGATCATCTTAGTAAATTACGCTCACTCGGCTTGTTGCGCAAAACTCTTATATAGTACACAAGGTTTTCAACGCAGTACCATCGGCTCAAGAGTTTCTACACCGTTGTGCTCGCGTTATGGAGCGTCCCTTATACTACGAAGCAACCTCTCAAGACCTCACTAATACAACCGCAACTTTCAGTGTCACAAGTAGGTGCCTTCGGGCTATGATGAAGATTCCAGCGCTTAGGGGCAGTGAAAGGATCGGACAAACCCGACTGGACAAGACTCCCCATCTTTCATTGTTCCTCGATCAGCTTCTAGACAAAAGTTACACCACCCTCCAATAGATTCAATTTCTTATTCACGAGCATCGCTAGAACAGCCCCAAGCCATTCAAGGTTACTTCCGCAAGGCCAAATCTCGTGCGATTACATTACTGAACATTTCGTAGTCCCTCGACCTCACTACTTATTCCACCGCCAAGTCGACGAAGATTCACCGCGATGTCCTCAACCAATACCGAAGAACGTATCCGCAAACTCTGGCAAGACAAGCAGCGCCAAGAGCACGCGAAGATGCGTCTCTGCGACGACCTGCAGCGCGAGGCCGTGACCTACAATAACAAGGCCCTCCACTATCGGCAAGAGCGGGATTTCTTCCAATCAGTTCGAAATGGCGTCCGTAGGCAGGAGGCTCAACTTTCGCTTGTATGTACTTTGAGCAACGAGACTCCTTCTTCCCTCTCAGGTACCCATTATCCCGAATCGGCAATTCGCTAATGAGCTATTGCAGGAACAATGGTCAGCGCACGCGGTCGGCAAACACTACGACCTAGGGAAGCAGATCCAAAAGCTCGTCGTCATTACCGCGGCCCGCAAGAAGCTTCAAGAACAACTCGGTATGCCTGCTACTGAGGATGGATATGTTGACTGCGGTAAGCATGCTGGAATTGGGTCAGTCACGCACTCAGACTACGATCAAGATTCTTCACTAACTTTTGCGTAGTATGTTCTATCTCCATCGATATATTACAGCAATGTATATTGGAAGTCAATGATAACGCGCTACAGTCTCTAGCAGCTTAAATACCGCTCTCAACAACGTCCTGTTTTCGCTAACGTCTTGATAGGCAGTCGATACCTGCTGCTTAATCACGAGCTAGATTCGACGACTAGCGTTCGACACTATATGGACGAGAACATGGGTGGGTCTTCGCTTTTCGCGGACGAGGAATGGCGGTCGTAAACACCATTGGGCTATACGACTGGGCAACTTCGGTTGACTGTAGCTTCGTCTTGTGTGTGTCGTCGAGGGGTTACAGGCGGCATATCTAGAGATGATGTGTGACCACCGGCAGGAGGAGTGAGCTGCTTTAGTGCTTGTAGTGATGGGTATCAAAGTTGTAGGACGAGATTGTAATGAGCATTGTGGATATGAAATGGGTAACAGTGCAACGAATGTTGGGGGAGACAAAAGGAGTGTAGAATTAGATAGGTAGACCCATTGCAATCAGCATCACTCTCACATGTTCACATACGCTATGAAGCAGTGACGATAGTTCGGTTGGTGTTCAAATCTACGAGACGTCAAACGGCTATTTATATCCTCCTTCAAATCGCCCGTGGCCCCTGAAAATCTCAACATTATACCGCTTTTACATTGTAACAGAAGCTCTGTAAGCCTGTTTGCTGATGTATGCTCGCCAGCTTTAGTACTTCTCGTCCACGAGACGCCTTTCCCCAACGACGCGAGAATTTGTGAAAAAGGACGAGGAAGTTGTCGGCTTGGGAAGTAAAGCGACGTGGAAGATCGAACAAAGGAGGAAAGCAAAGAGAACATGATGAGAAGATGAAGAGTCGCAGCCGGGCGTAAATCATAATTCGTGACGTGAGGCTGTCGTTGCCAAAAGAGAAGCGGCTTCAGGCGCATAGCTGTAGGTTCAGTCACAAAAGGGATGCGTGCTACATGCAGGGGTTTATTTGCGCCTCGTCCGGAAGTGAACGGCCATGTGAAGTCGAATGGTAGCTGTACAGGGCGTAATGACCTCCAGATTGATAAGACGCTGTCGCAGGTCTCTGGCAATCTCCTCGTCGTGCGATCCGTCGCAGACGCAAAATACCCCTGTAACGGATGTGTGAGGGTCTGACGAGTAGAGTCAAAATGTCATAGCGTCGGGTCGTATTGAAGAAGCCTCTATCAAGACGCAACTCCCTCTCGCTACCCCGCCACACACCCGCACCACCACGTTCCGATTCGACCAAGACTTGTGTATCTTGTTGTGAATATCTTTCCAACGCTCATAGTACGTTTCTCGCTCGAGCAGACGCGAAAGCGGATCCGCGACTAACATCTTTCGCCGCCCGACAGACCACCGTCCGAGCAAGCACCCCACCACCGTACACGAAGCCGCCACTCGTACATACCAATCGGGCATGCCTCCACTCTGGATACACATGGCGGTGGACGCGGCGAGGCTGTTCCATGCCGAGACGCGCAGATTTGAGCTGGCGCAGATGGAACGTTGCGAAGAGATACGGCGCGAGGTCGTGACCCTTGACGGCAAGGCCAAGTACTGGGGAGATCGAGCCGCCTTCTTCCAGACACGGGGACATTTGCCGGGAGACGAAGAGCTTGCTGAGGCTGCCTTGAAAGTCCAGGTAAGTCGGGATTTGAAGGCCCACCAGCCCAGCGTCAGGCCATGGCTAACCAAACCTCCGCGATAGACCCTCTTCAACCACAAGGCCGAAGACCGCGACTGGGACCTCGAAGACGAGATCAAGTTGCTCAGAAGGCTGACTTCCCTCCGCAAGGGGTTTCAGCGAGCACTCCAAATGGCTCCGACGCGATCCGAGTACGTCGACTACGGCGACAACTCAAACCTGGGCGAGCGCTTCAGACTCCGCAACCGAGCAAGAGCCGTGATGCGCTTTGCCTAGGAGTAAGGGCGGAAGACTCAAGGAAAATTCGCGCGACAGTCCATACCGGCACCATTGGCAGTACCTGGGGATGGATGGGGTGATACACGGCGTAATGGATAGCTCTTAGTACCTAGACAACGGCGTCGAGGTGCAGAACCGTATTGGACATAGGTAGATGAGGCAGGAAAGATACATGAATAGAAAGGAAACCCATACCTACCTTCGCAGCGATGCAGGAGTATCCACACCATGGAAGTTTGAGGCATATAAACGTCATGCTGAATCGTGAGGCCTACGTGATATCCATGTCTTCGTGCTGCGCATGCCGTCAGGTATCCCCGAGGCCCTCAAGGCGATTATCACGGCGACAAGGTGCGGTTTGGCGCTTCTGAAGTCGATCAGGCAGTGCGTATCGCTGTCATCTCGCGTGATACTCCATAGATCGTGGCCATAGGATTGCAGTATTACTTTCCGAATTTCCGAATGCGAGCATATAGCAATTATGCCAATGCTGCACTTGGAGGAGATTAACCCGCTGTCGCGTCCTGGTCTACGCCATCCGCGCTCGAGTCCTTCAGCTGGCATGTCATGACCACGCCGACAAGCGCAGACTTGCTGTCAAAGCAGCTTACCTCGAAGCTGCGTCTCTCCTAAGTCTCATCTCTAGACGCAAAAGGGCAAAGTCCAAGTAGACGTCCTTCGCAAACGGTATTGCTGCTGCTGCTGTTGCTGCTGTTGCTGCAGCAGAAGCGAAGACTCGGAAGAGCGGGCGTGCTGAACCAACCCGCCTCGCCTCTCGAGGAAAGCATGTAAGAGGAGCTCTACACAAGCACAAAAGGTTGCACTTGCCTCTAGATAGATATCACATCTTACCTTAGCAGTGGAATAGTAATTAGATAAAAATCAAGGCTGCACCAGCCTCTAGTCGCAGTACGCCCTGCTCAAGCTTTCGCGGTGTAAAAAAGATAACAAAAAAGAGCAAAAATACGGACTTGCAACCGCGGGAACTCCACCACCTGTTTTCGAACCTGGTGATACACAAGTTAGTAACTGTTTTCTGTCAAGGCCTCATCGGCCAGGGTACGACGTTGGGTCACCATCCCAACGCCGTACGAGATACTGGCAAGATTAGAGCAATTATATAGCCAAAGGACTTCGAGGTTGCTATGGTGGCCTTTGTTGATTTTGGAGGCGCGAAGGGGCGCGTGCTTGTGCGGGGATTACGCGGGGCGGGGCAGCGGCGGCGAGTGCAGAGACTGCTTCACATCGTCCACGGCGGCGAGGAGGCAGGGGTCTGCCAGTGAGACGAAGCTCCGCTTAGGCGTGAACTGCTGCTCGTCGCGTTGAGCTCGCTCCTGTAGCCTGAGTTGCACGTTCTGGAGCGTGTGTGACATCTCAGGCTATGTACACAACCAGCTATGACATGTACGTCAAGCCTGGTAGGATCAGGGTAGCCTCGATGGCGCACATCCCCTGAAGCATTAAAGACTCTTTTAAAGCGTGGTGTTTGCGCTGCATGGCGGTCCGGTCTGACGTCGCTCATGTGTGGCAGCGGATGTCCGCACATCCACGCCTGCACCCACGCCTGCACCCACGGCATGCATTCGTTCAGCATTGCGCATCGGGATGGACAGACGCAATTGCCATCATTTAGTGCAAGTACGCTCGACACTCGTGAGTGCATTCGATGCGCGTTTTTGGTGGTACCCGGAACAAGTTGAGATGGGAGTGAAGCTGGCCACACGCAGCGGCATCTCCTTGTTGCTCACCTCGCCTCGAGTCCGTGATGTCGCGCATTAATTGTTGGGAGTATGTGATACTGTCGTTGATAGTCTTTGACTCTTGAGCGTGACTTCGATAATGCCTCAGCTTATCTCCGCGGTCGTAAGTTTCGAAATCTTGATACGTGATGAGCTATGCCTTCTCTTACCGGTACATCTTTGTAGCGGCAGGCTGATAGCCAAATTCGATGCATCGAGCCGTGGATGTCGGAAGTGTATAGCATAAACCCATCTTGCATACATGGTCAAGTGATACCTGAAGCACAGGTGTTGAAGTCGTGTTTCCGGGCGAGTCAGGCTTGGCTACCTCCAAGCAGAAGACGACAGAGCAAGGGCGGGATCGGGGTGAGTCCTGGAGTATGGACCAAATATCGATCGCAACAGCAGGGTTCTGTTAAAGATTGATCTCTTTCTGGGCCGAGACAGATACGATATATGGTCCTCCAAGGTGAGCGACTCTCTCACCCCTGAAGATCGCGAGTCGATCCAACGAGGGAGCGAAGATGACCCGTCGAAGAGCTTCCGAGTCGATCCGGATGAAGGACATACCTTTGGAATGATGTATGCTAAGGCAAAAAGCCGAAGGGCGTTGATTTCAAGCACAGCCAGCTGTACTCCGTGACGCTGTTCCGTGATAGTGGCGGATCAATGGCGGACTTGGAAGAGATGCCCCATGATCCGTAATCCATCAAATCAGCTTCATGAGGGCTTCTTGTCGAGCCAGCCCCTGAAGTAGCTAATCCTCACATCCTCTTCATGGAAACATGAGACAATGCAAAGAAGGCCATTAAGGGATCTCCGTGTCGAAGAGCGTAAAGTGAAATGCAGTTCGATGCCCGCGCCACTCGATACCAATGTATCAAAGCCGCAGATTGTTTAGCGGCCCATATGTCCGCTGCTAAAATGCCGAAGGTTTGCTGACGTCTTTGGCCATCTCCTCACATCGTTCAATAGCGAACTGTTGCAGGAGATTCGTTGTTGTAGATCATGTCCGCGATATGTACCTCATCGCGGTTCTGGAGACGAGTGCCACTCGGCGAACAGCAGACTTGCGCTACCCTCAGGGAACCCCTGACAAGCCCACATCGTGTGGGATCTTCGTAACCGCCAAAGTCCGCACCAAGACCGATGAACAGGGGCCTTGGTATCTAGATCATGTTCAGCTGCAGCGGTGCTGCGTTGCGACGTTGCGACGTTGCAATCAGACAAGGTTGGTCCTTCGAGCTCCTCCAATGAATGTGATCATGTTTGCGCAGTCAAAAAATCTGAAAGAAAATCGACATGCTGCCGCTTGCTTTTAGATGCTGACTCCAGTCTGGAACTTAAGGCTCTTGCAAGGAGCCCGCGATGATGTCTCAGATGCGGAGATGCTCGGAAGTCCGCTGTCGACCAGCCATGTAACATCTGCAACAGATGCCAGCTTCTCT